CGCCTGGGCGTGGAGAGGTTGATCCGTGCCTCTCAGCCAGCTCTCTGGGCCCGCCCTCGCCCCCGCGGGGCTCTCCGGAATCCCGTGGGATTCCCTGAGGGGCAGAGCCTGCCCTGCTGGCCGACGGGTGGTGGTCCGGCTGCTTGCTCTGCTCCCTCCTCCCGGGTCCCGAGCTCCGGCATCTCCTGGCCGGTGTAGCCCAGGCTGCCCACGGCCCGCCAGCCCTTCCTTCGTTGTGAGTACGAGGGCACCTCTCCTCTCCGCCAGCACCTTGGCGCCGAGGCACTCGGGAGGCCGCCCGGATTGCTTGTGCCCGCCTGTTGCCCCTCCAGCAGAGAGTGGGGTTGCTTCCAGTTGTCTGGAGAAGGCCTTGTCCGAACGATCAGTCATCATGCTGCAGAACCATTTATTAAGACCTACAGATCCAGTTTCTTTTCTGAGCAGAATAGAAGCCTTCTTTCAATTTGGTTTATTATGACTGTGTATAAAATTCAGAAATTATTTCACAGTGTAGATTTTTTTTTCATGTCCCAAGGGAAATGTTAGTAGTGTATATGCTTGTGACTAATAGTCTTCCTCCTTTGAACAGATAACAAAAAATGTGAAGCCTTACAGACTGTATCAGGAGAAAAAAAAAAGTGATGAAGTTGGGTACTTTTAAAAGCTGTAATCATATTTGGGAAAAAGCCTATCTCTGGCTACAGCCTTAAAGTTCTTTAGCTGGAGTTGGCCAAAAGGGAGATCTCTTGGTGCCTTTAAGGTTCCTGTATGCCTGTTTGCTGTGCTGTGAGTATTTGCGGTGTACCCCGTAAAGCTCCTCTGGCTGAATTGATCAGATTCCTGAAAGAATTGTGTATAACTTCTCCAGTGGTAGGAGTGACTTGCGGTGTTTTGTTAGAAGACTTCACAAATGAGTGTGGTTGTAATAGTCACAGCTTCATGCGTTGATAAATTTTGTTGTCGCTTCTCTTAATGCATCCAAGGCTGTCAGCGGCAGCAGCTGAGGGCTGTGGTTCATGGTCTCCGTCGCACACAGCTGCAGTGGCAAAAGCCAGCTGGAATTAAGGATTGGTATCTTGAATGTCTGCACTTCCGTGTTTCCTGGCTTGTTTTAATGTCCTATGGTATCTTCTGGTTTTGGTAGCTGATGAATAGTTTTTTGTTGCTTTTTTTTTTTTTTCCCCATTTAAGTTTAATAGTAAGCAGGAACACTGACTGGAATGTCATTTGGCTAGATTACCCAGTCAGCCAATGTACGATAGGCCATTTTACCAGAATGTAATGGTAAATTGCCACTGTTTTTCCCCAAAGTATTGTACATCTCTGCATACGTGATAGCAGTGCAGCGTTCACAGGAACCGCTGTAGAAATACTTCTACAGATAAATTATTTGTGTGTGATTCTCTTAATACCCATAAAGTCCTGCCAATGGGTTAATCTTCTGCCTTTTGCAAGATTTGGGAAAAAAAAAACCCCAAACAAACAAAAAAACCTCCCAAAATTTAAATCAGGAGTGAGGCTTTATTTAATCAGTTGCTTGACAAGTGGTTGTTTGATTTCTTTATTTTGAAGATGCAAAATATTTATGAAGGCAATACAATATTATTTGTTTTTTCCCCCAGATATTCTGATCGCTATGGCAGCCACAAGAAATGTGATGAGAGCTGTCAGAGTTTTTGAATTTGGTGGCCCTGAAGTGCTTAAACTCCGGTCAGATGTCTTAATTCCTGATCCAAAAGAAAATCAGGTATATATGAGTTCTGTGAACTGAAGTAGTGATATTCAATGATAATAGGTACACTCAGAATGGAATGAAGAATACAAACCCAAAACTTTTCATCTTGAATATGTAGTTTTTGATCAGTGTATTCATCCTACCTGAGACATCATGTTTAACAAATGTGAGCTTTTTACACTTGTATGGGCTACATATTCCATATAAAGTGAAAAGGAGTTGCAAAAGCATGCACTTTGTGATTTCTAAATAATTAGTGAAATAGGTACCAAAAGACTTTGTAGATAGAGAAAGAATGCTAAAACAAGTTGTGAAGGACAAAATGTTAGAATAGAAAACTAGCTAAGAACTAATGAATGTCAAGAGAAAGACAAAACAGAATGATTCACTGTGAGGTTCTGATGACAAAGTATCTATGTAAGCCTCTATTTTCTACGCATGCCCAAGAAACTGCCAACTGGAAGAGTTCAGCAAAAGGGTAAGTGATGAAGACTATGAAAAGACCACCGGAGAAAGTAAACGACCAGAGATACTGTAATACTCACAAAAGGACGCTGGATGGCAGTACAACCGCCGGATAATTAGCTCGTATATATTTAATTAGTTCTGAGAAAAGGTGTGCCTTATGTTAATGATTTCTTTGTCTATGAAATTAATATGCAACACTCTTGTAAATATAAACGACACCAGAACGACCAGTCGTTGGGAGCACTTATGGTGGAGAATCCCCAGTGCGACCCCAGCGCTGCTAATAAAGAATACCTGCTTAACAGTAATTAATTTGCTGTTGAGTGAACTTTCTTCATTTCAAAAGGATTTCCTGAAAATGGCTTCAGTTCAACACTGAATTTTTGCTGACTCTCAGAATTTAGTTAAAATGCCATGATACTGTGCTGTGAATCCAAGTTTTAAATCTTTTTAGTTATTGCTTAAGAAGCATCTTTTCTTTTAGGTGTTAATTAAAGTCCATGCGTGTGGAGTAAATCCTGTTGAGACATATATTCGTTCTGGAAATTATGCTAGAAAACCAACTTTACCCTATACTCCTGGTTCAGATGTGGCTGGTGTAATAGAAAGTGTTGGGGAACATGTGACTGCATTCAAGGTATTTGTACATTGGGTTTTAATTCATTACTGTTTATTGTGTCCTCTTTGTGTGGTTGCTATACTACTGTTCCTGTTTTTAGTGCTTATAATCATGTAATCTATTCAGGGGGGAAATCACCTTCATTGTCTGGTAAAAGCAGGCAGCGAGATCATATTGGCAATCCAGTCTGCAAACTGAACTGTAGGGAAGTCTTTAATGCTGTTAACCTCCAAGAGTTAAAAGTTCTCAGAAGAGGCACTTTGGTTTGTCTGCTTAAAGCAATGATACCAGGTGTACAGAGGTTGTGATTCAGAACAATTTTTATGGCATTGCAGAAATATTTAAAGTGGGATGCTTCCTGTTTGAGGTAACAATGTCACGTAGAACTGAAAAATTTTCTGTTAAGTTTTTTTAGGAAATGGAAATAGCTTTTATTTTACTGACTTATAGAACCCCATAAATTACATATTTGTTGTTAAAATTGTTCGAATACTTTATTAGTCCTGTCTAGTAATTTTAGTTAGGTTTACTCAGGGGGAAAGTCTTGGGACAAGAGAAGGGAATTATCAGTTTGCTAAAAGATACCTAGGAAATTTATTTAGTTTTAAAATCTGTTCTTTCTTTCAAGTCACTAGACTGTTGATCTCAGACAAACATAAAAATTGTAGTTAAAATTGCGTTGGAATTTCCTGACTTGGAGTTTATGTAACTACTGTTGTGGGAGAGATGTGAAATTTGGGTATCTAGAGAGAAGAATCATGTTTATTCATATTTTCTTATCAATTGTTTGCTATATCTGCTCTGTGTGTGCTTTTTGTTTCGTATGGAAATTGTGATGCTCTTTGCTTGAATGAAAAAGAGAGATGATGAGATCAACATGTGCCACAGACAGACATCCTGAAAATGCGAGTAGCCCAGCTCATTCATTCGCATACTCACAGTGCTTGAGAAGCAGCTATGCTGATATGCAGCCCTCTGCCCAGTAGTTAATTCCCGGTGTCTGCAAACCAAACTGACGTAATCTGCACGCTGTATATTTATTGACACCAATGTGCAAGTAGTAGAAAAATCAGAGCTCAGTAACTGTGAATGTTAACGGATACTGATGTTCTGGGAGCGGACTTGTGCGAGGTTGGATGCTGACCTGGACCGACACACAGTGCGCTGCCGGGCCGTGCGTTTCCTGCATCGCCTACTGAATTGCTGGTTTGAGTATTCCTTGTTGAAGAACAGCTGCAATATTTAGTTACCTTGGGGTATATTAAGAGTATATCTCTTTTCCATGTTTAAACAAAAATAATTGAGAAATATTCCTTTTGTTTGAAATATTCCTTTTGAGATTTTTGCATTTGGAATCTGTGGATGGAATTCTTTAGTGTTCAGGTTCATTAAGGTGAATATTACTGAGACAGTAGGTTTGTGTGTTACGCTGTAGAGCAGGGGTTATAATTATGACACTTAAATCTAAGTATATGAAATTACATGGTTTGTGTTGCATTGATTGTGTGTGTTAGCATTTATAAAAATCTTCTCTGCAACAAATATAACTGGTTATTTTTAATAGGAGAGCTGTTAGAAATAGCCTAAACTTCTGTGAACTGGTTAAGGGAGATGGTTAATTTCTCTATTTTCTTTCCCTCCTTTCTAGAAAGGTGACAGGGTTTTTACCGTTGATACGATCTCTGGAGGATACGCAGATTATGCAGTTGCTGCAGCTAATAGAGTCTTTCCTTTGTCGGATAAATTGGACTTCAGGCAAGGAGCAGCAGTTGGAATACCCTACTTCACTGCTTACCGTGCTCTTTTCCAAAAGTAAGGTGCCAAATCTAAGTTTGTGCGTTTTGCTTTTGAATATTTACAAATTTGAAGCCCATATTTTCATTGTCCTGTAAAATGGGGGGAGATCAATGAGTGGGAAATGTTTAAAACACTTAAGTTAAATTTGTTATACTCGTGGAATTGTCAGATAACTGTTACCTAGAAGCTAGCGACTGTATTTTCCCGTTAAGTATTTCTTCTTAAGAGAGCAGACCTGGGAAGACTTCTTTAATACGTATCATGTAATAAAACCTGTAACTCTTTTTCAGTACTCATTGGTATTTTAGCTAGAGAGGAAAACCAGGAATAGTTCTAATTTCTTAATTAAATGGACATTGCGCTGTAGAGCAGACCCACCTATTTTCTTCATGAGCCTCTCTGCCATAGAGACTCTGTGTACAGTCCTGTCTGTTGCCGTAGGAGAGTATAACAAGTAAAAGGCAAGCTTCCTTCCTCTCAGGTGAGAGTTTTGGACTGGAAATGTAGTTTAGTTTGATACAACAAATGATTAGAACTAGTCTGGTTTACTTTAAGAACTGGAGCAGGTGAAGATCTTGAACTGAGGTTCAGTACTAGACTGTTACTTGCTGCTAGTTGCACCTTAACATAATTGCGTATTACTTAAATTCATAAATGGTATGGTTTATTTCGCCTCCTTGTTTTTCCCAGAGGCTGATAATATCTGTTTAGCCATAACATAAATTGGAAAGAATACTGTGTGAAAGATGACATTTGATGTCAGTATATGCAATCGGATGCTTAATGATTATATACTGCAATCATAATGCCAATATTTTCTGTTTTTCCATTCAGAGGGCGTGCCAAAGCAGGGGAAAGTGTGCTAGTGCATGGTGCGAGTGGGGGGGTAAGTATTTTGAGAAGGCAAGTTATAAGAAATGCTGCTTTCTGTCCTTGTATCTGCTTTTGCTTGTGATATGATTTATGGTTACATTTATATCAATTAATGGATTAACAAAATTAGGTTTTTATTTCAGACACTTTAGGATACTTTTTTTCTCAGAGCAAACCCTGTTATTCCAAATAACTGTGAAACTGCATGAGTGATTGTGTAAGGCTCTTAATTCAGAGGCTCACAAACAAACACAATGCTGCAGTCGGAACTTGGTCCGGAAGCTTTATAACTGGTCTTAGATAAAATTAATAGCAGAAAGCTGTTATTTTAAAATATGTACAAGTTGTTCTCGGTTCTCTGACTAGTAATCACCGGTGTACAGCAACTATGCATTTCTGGGATACTTTTACCTATTAGCTAACAGCTAGCTGCACAAGGAGAGGTACTGGTATATACAAATTCATGACTGAATGCTGTGTGAAGTTGAATATATAGTTTTCTTTGGTTTTACATGACAAGCTAACTTTAGATCTCGTTCACACAACATTCTAGTTTAATTTATCCCCCATACTCTGCACTTTGTTTCTCAACTTCTGCTGATGCACCAAACAGCTGCTATAAATGGGCAAAGTTTCCTTAATTATTTGGTAGACAGCAAAGAGGTGATTATGACAGTCTCATATGAGGAGGAATTCAGATCTCATTCTAAGACACTAGAAGGACATTCACTCACAGCTGGTGAGGGAGCCAACTAGGGAAGGCGCCCGCTGGACCTGTTGTTTGTGAATAGAGAAGGGCTTGTGGGTGATGTGGTGGTTGGAGGCCGTCTTCAGCACAGCGATCAAGGAATGAGAGTGTTTTTGATTCTCGAAGGAAGGAGAGGAGTCAGCAGAACTGCTACCTTGGACTTCCAGAGGGCAGACTTTGACCTGTTCAGGAGTCTGGTTGACAGAGTCTCTTGGGAGGTAGTCCTGAAGGGGAAAGGGGTCCGGGAAGGCTGGACATCCTTCCAGAAGGAAATTTTAAAGGCTCAGGAGCAGGCTGTCCCCATGTGCCAAAAGACGAGCCAGCAGGGAAGAAGACCGGCCTGGCTGAACAGAGAGCTTTGGCTGGAACTCAGGAAAAAAAAGGAGAGTTTATGACCTTTGAAAGAAGGGGCAGGCAACTCAGGAGGACTACGAGGGTGTTGTGAGGGTATGCAGGGAGAAAATTAGAAGGGCCAAAGCCCAGGTAGAACTTATTCTGGCTACCATAAAAGACAATTAAAAATGTTTC